AAGTACATTAAAAACATATAAATATTGATGTTCTCTGAAAAATTACCCAACAATGTGATTCGTAAACATTCCTCTAAATTTAGTTTTAGAATTTAAGTTTCTAATCACCACTAAAATCCTAAATAATGTTTTCTGTAGACTGTATTAAGATAAATTTTAATGTTGATATGGCCCATTTATTTCTTTTAAAAAATGAAATGTAATAACAGGGAAATGGCCTTTTTAAAGATAGGTAATTATACATGCAGAGTCTGTGTCTTTTTTTACAAAAGAAAAAGAAAAAGGGAAAAACCATAGCCATCTTTTAAATACCATAATGAGAGGAAATGCAGTTGTAAGAGCCTTTAGCAAAAAGTGTAGGGCTGTGCTGGCTGCCAGAGAGCCCTGGTGGGAGGTTGTGGGCTCCCCTGAGAGGACTAATGGATACGACAGGCCTTCTGCTCTGTGCACATTTGCTTTCCTACACGTCAAAGGGCTGATCTGGCATAGCTTTGAAAGAGTGGGCAAGGGAGGAAAGAGAAGTACAAAAGGACAAGTACCAAAGGGCAGAGACTCACCCCAACTGAAATGCAAACTAGATAAGAACAGCAAACCCATGGTCAGGCATTTTTATTGATAAGTTCACAACTAGCTTATCTGTTCCAGTGTGGGTTTCTGGCCACCAATGTTGTCAGTGGGAAGTGCTTTGACATTACAAACTAATTTTGAGCTCCCCAAATCACTGGTCAGAATATCACCATTTAATCATGTGAGGAGGAAGCAAAATAGAGCTATGAAAAAGCTCTAAATATTAGGAATTTTACAGAGATGGGAATCTAGTCTCTTGCAGTCACTGAGACATTACGACAGATTTGGTTATTGCATGAGAGAGCATCAGTTAGACCACAGCTCCCCAAGTGTGGTGTGAGGTGTTGTGGCATCAGCCTTACCAGGCTGCTTGCTAAAATGACTCTCAAGGCCCAGCCTTGGTCTAGGGAATGAGAATCACTGAGGGGGTGCTGAGCAATCTGTTTTAACAAGGTCCCCAAAAGATACTTTTGCCCTAAAGTTCGCCAAGCACTGATTTTGACCCTTGTTCGTCAAAATGCAGATTACGGTGCCTTTGTGGGTTGTAAAATCAGTTCAGTAGACAATGATCAGCATTTTACAAAAGTGAAATGGAGTAGAGAAAGGAGGACATCCCATGTAGCATGCGTCTGATATCTTAAGACTTATTCAGTTCTACGTATGTGTGTGCACCCGTGTGTACTGATTTGGGTGAAACTGATTTTGAAGAGCCAGTAGGGTATAATAAAGAAGCTATAAATTTTAGATGAAGTCAGAACCGTTTGGTTGACAATAAAACACACTGACAGCTTAGTGTGGATTCCTGTTTGGAGAGAGATTGAATAGAAAGGGAAGGGGGCCAAGGAAAGAACACAGCAGGCCAAGGTTTTATAACTCCAGAATTCTTGTGGGGATAAAAACAAAAGGCCCACACCGAGAGGAAATGGAAGGCGCATCTGTCACAGGGGACATGTCAAAGAGGGCAAATACAAAATAAAGTCATGTGTGACCTTCAAGAAACAATCATATAAGTAGGAATATTCATTCACTCATTCATTCAATCTCAGATCATTTCTTGTGTGGTCCCAGGTACTAGGCACTGTTAGATGCTGGGGATACAGATGTGAGGCCTGTCATGGACTGCATTGTTTAGTGACAAGCAATATCAATAATAATAATAGCATGATCAGTGCTGTGAAGGGAGTCTTAACATAGCATTGAATGGGAATACTAAAATCAGTCTGCAAGGCTGGAGTGGGACTGGAGTGACAGGGAACATCCATATGGAGAGGGCATTTAATTAAAATGATGACCATATTTTAACATGGTATTTTATTTTGAAACAAATCAGATTCAGTACTAGGTCTTGGGCCAGGGTCTGAAAAATCTGTCTTACTGACAAGTTCCGGGGCAATGCAGATATGGTTGATCTGGGGACAACTCTTTGAGGATGGTCAAATGGCTGAACTGAGTGGTGCTAGTTGGTGTTTCTAGAGGTACAATTTAAAGCAGACAGAATTTAGCTGATACATATGCACACAAAACTGTTTTTCTTTATTACATTTTGATCACTTAGTAATAATAACTGTTACAAAAATTTTTCATATGACTTAATTTTTATTGTAAAACATTCTACTAAGATTTTATATTTAGCTTAGATATTTGACAGACAACTGTTCTTGTGTGTGGCAAAGACATGCTCTTGCTGTGTGCTTGCCAAACATTTTTTTTTCTAGGCACACACATAAAACCACATTTCCTGCCCTCTTTGCAGTTAAGTTACACCCTGTGACTGATTTCTGTCAATGTGGATAGTGGGCAGGAGGGATGAAAACTTGTCCAAGCTTGGCCAGAACTTCTTTCAGTATCTGCCCTTTTTCTTTGGCCAGCCAGGTACCCAGGATCTAGCAAAGGACTCTGTAAGGGGCCCTGGCAGCCTGTATAGCTGTTAGGTAATAGCTTGGGTCCCTGAGTCACCAGTTGGAGGACACCTAGAATTTTCACTCAAGTGGGGAACCATTTAGAAAGAGATGAAAGAGTGTACTAAGTGAACTCACAATGTGCTTTCATTGCATCAAGGCCCTAAGGTTTAGGGCTTTGATCACACTGTGTAGCTTGTTGGCCTTGACTAATACACTATATATGCCTGGCACTGCATAACACAAAACACATATTTATGAGCTGAATGAATGATTATTACAACTTCAGTTTTTATTCTTTTATGTCCAACATTCAATGTCTAAATGGACTTCTCACCACACATTTATTCAACAAATACTTACCTGAAGTGTGCTAATGTGTGCCAACTACTGCAAATAGTGAATAAAGAAACACACACTTTCTATGCCCTCATAGAATTTACAGTGTTGTGAGGAATGGACATAATAAACAATCACTCAAACCAATGTAAAGTTCCAGCTGTTGGGAGGGGGGTGAGTGCTGGAAACCTGGCACTACCAGGGGATTTTTCCTAGTTAGGAATACTTGTTGAGTGCTTTTAAGGTGTAATTTCCAATTGGATAAAAATGGTTGTAAAATATAACTAAATTTGGATGTGATGAAGCAAAATATAACTAAAGCTGGATATAACAAAGAGTCATAAGGTTTTAGTGTTAAGTCTTTTCATTTAATAGTTTTAACTACTGAATGGGATTTGCTCCATATTAGAGTTACCTGAACTTTTCAAATGCATGTATAATGATGAGTGTGAAACCCTTTAACATCAGTTGTTAGCTCCTCTGAGACTGGCAAAAGTACTTTACTCCTTTTTTAAAATTCATAGTGTTTACTGATGGACAGTGACTGCAATGGGGTATGGGTGGGGACATGATAATATGGGTGAATGTAGTAACCACATTGTTTTTCATGTGAAACCTTCATAAGAGTGTATATCAATGATACCTTAATAAAAAAAATCATAGTGTTTATTACTTTTCTCAATTAGCGATAAGTTCATACCATATTGGTAGAAATCCTGGCTGAACCAGAATTTCACACTGAGGGCTCCCTTCAAGAAAAGTTAAATCATACCAAGTTACTAAATGCCTTCTTGAATTATAACTTGTCATTTTGGTAACCACTTTGGCCCTTTAAACTTTTCTCTGCTTAACAAGTAAACATTGGTTTTCAAAAGCTCATATACCATATGAAAGAATTTTTAGGTTTGCATTGAGTATATGTGCATTCTCAGATATGCTGTTATACACAGATATCTATATCTACACAATACATATATATCTTTTATATCTATACATATATTCTTCACTTCTGTTTAAAAACTTGATCCTCATGCTTTGAGTGATAAAAACCATTGCATAAATGACTCATTACAAATATGGAAAAAAAAGACAAAGTATTTCTATTGTTTGTACAAATAACACCAGTTGCTATTATTATCTATATAGAAGTCACCTTAGGCATTTTCAAATTGGTAGGGTCAGAGCAGGCCATCCAGTGGATATTCAGACCATGCTCTGCCACTGTGTATAAAATGCTGTGGCCAGGATTCTCACCTGGCCCTGGCTGGCTAGCTCACTACACATGTGTGGGCTATATGTTGTTGTTGACTCTATATAAAGAGCTCCGCCCAGTGCTCTGGGTGAGACGGTGGCATGACTGCAAGGCTGCAGGAGAGCAGAGCAGAGTCTGGAATGGTGGTAGAGGACGGCTGTGCGGGCAGAGGGGCCCAGAGGCAGAGAGACCGGCTGCTGCATGCAGCCTCGCTCTGAGTGGACAAAAGTTTAGTGATTGACCTGCCACCGTGGAAATAAAGTTGGGCATAACTCTTTCACTCCAAGAACGTTTTACCGTCATTTCTTTGGTCACATTGAATCCATAGTGAACTTGCCTGGGGCTGAAACCCATTGGCAAGACAGCTACCAAGATACTACGTCAGTTAGGAATGGACCCAGGAGAACTTTTAATTCTATTTTAGAGAAATTATAAGATGCTGGCAGGTGCCTTTGGGAATAAATACAAACATCCCAGGTAAGGAAACTGAAGTTTAGAAAGGTGGAATAATTGGCTCCCTACATGTAATTTAGATATAGACCTAAGACTCCAGGTCGACTAAATCAGGTGCAGCTTTCTCTGCGCTAAGGTTTTTGCCCTGTAACTGAAGGTCAGGCTGATTATCTTAAGGTCTTCCCCCACTGTGCTTCCTCCATGGTCAGTGTTTTATGGGATAGATCTAATTCAAATCAGGTTGGCTTCTGCCTTTTTGGTTATTTCTTTTGTTTTCACTGGTCTCAGTCTCTTATCATCAGCATCTGTTTTATTTAAAAGACACACTGTGACACCAAGAGGAGATCAACATCCATCCCAATTCAAAGACTCAGGACACACGACTCGGCCATTTTCAGCCGAGGCCGGGTAAAGGTGAAATGCGGACACAAGGTTTTCTCCAGAGCCTGAAGGCCACGTGCAGGAGGCGGGGCCTCCTTTGGTTGGCATCGGGAGGGGCTCCGTCCCTCCAATCGGCTTAGGCCCCGCAGTGGAGGAGGGGGTGCGTCCTGAAGGAGAGGGCGGGACCAGTTTCCTGTCCATCACCGAGTCCTCGACCGGCAGCACCTACCACACGACTGTACCTTGGAGAGGCGGGGCCGAGGAGGAAAGGCCACTGTCGGGCGAGGCGGGGCCATACCAGCGGAAGCCAATTAGCCTGGCGGCGCGAGGGTTGGGGGCGGAGCCACGGCTCCAGACCCAAACACTCGGGCCCAGGCGCTCACTGGAGTCGCGCTGTCCCCTGGCCTTCCGGTGCGAGGGCCGGGGAGCCTCCTACCCTAGTGGGTACCCCCACTTTCGTGGCCCAGACCCCTCCTGTTAGTCCTTCTGCGGGGAGCGTGGCGACGGTTGCTGGGAAGCGCGCCGCCCCCATACTTTATCCTCCCCTCACGCGCCACCCGTTTTTCCTCTTTCTTCGCTTGTAACAGCTGGGTGGCTGGGGGAGGGGGGAAGGTGGCCCCGGCGGAGTCTGGGCGGGCGCCTCCCACACACCCGCGAGCCGCCGTGGGAGCAGGATGGCGGCGGTAGCCGCGGCCGCCCGGGAGGAGGCGGTGCCGAGGCCCGGGGCGCAGAACGCGGCGGTGGCGGCAGAGAGCGGCAGCGGCTCGTCGCGGCGCCCTGGAACCGAAACCAGTGGCAGCCGAAGAGCCACCTGAGCCGCCCCTCCGTCGGAGCCAGCCTGGGACACCCGCCGACGCCGGGACCTCCTTCCTCTCCGCCTCTCGTCGTTTTCCGCGACCCCGTCAGGCCGCCGGCCTTGCCAGCGGCCCGCGAGAAGAGCGCGTCGGGCGCCGACCGCCCCTCGGGGCGCCGGGCGGCGGCCCTGGACGTGCGGGCTTCTCTCTGGGCCGGCCGCGGCGCCTCGGTCCTGCGCTCCCGCCCTCCCGGCACTCCGGGCGCTGCGCGCGGGCCCGGCCCGGGGCAGGGCGGACATGGGCGCCAAGCAGAGCGGTCCGGCCGCTGCTAACGGCCGCACCCGCGCGTACTCGGGCTCAGATCTACCCTCCAGCAGCGGCGGAGGGGCCAGTGGGACCGCGGCCGGCGGCGGGGCGCAGGCTGAGGCCGCGGAGAGGTTTCTGGCTCAGGTGCCCGGCGCTCACCAGCCCAGCGCCTCGGGCGCCGCCGCGGCTGCCTCGGCCGCCCCGCGCAGCCGCTCCCTTGGTGGGGCTGTGGGGACCGTGTCGTCGGGGACCCGCGCTGCGCAGTCGTCCTTCAGCATCCCCAACAGCAGCAGCGGCCCGTATGGCTCGCAGGACTCAGTCCACAGCAGCCCCGAGGATGGCGGCGGCGGCAGGGACCGGCCGGCGGGCGGGGGTTCCGGCGGGCCGCGCCTGGTGATCGGTTCCTTACCAGCTCACCTCTCGCCGCACATGTTTGGAGGTACGGCCCCTTCCCTGGCTCCCCGGCTTCTGGTTCCCTGCCTCCCGTGGGCGGCACGTGGGCCGCCGCCACGCTTATTTTTACCCTTCTCCTTTTCCCCTTCGGCCTGAGTGCCGGGGTTTGCGGCGCGGCCCGGTGCCCCGTCCTGGGAGGAAAATTGCCACTTAGCCCTGGAGCGCCGCTACCGCCAGACTCCTTGTTTGGTTTTTAGGCATCGTTTGCACCCTCATCTTATAGCGGCTATAATATAACCCAGTAGAGAAAGCCCTTGTTTTCTCAGTGAGGTAAATGGAGCAAATACTATTTTAAAACCAACTTAGCAGCCTTCATGCTTGTGGCTTTTCGTATCAGGAAGTCAGGAAAAGACCCGTTGCTAAATCTCTCCGGGGACTTAAGTGGTAGGCAGTTTTTAAAGGCCAGAAGTCAGAGGGTCTCAGATGAATATAGGAGCATTTGAAAAAGGAGGGACTTGGCTTTTTTGGACTGCCTGTTAATGTAAAAACATAGTTCTTCAGCCTGTGTAAACAGTCCCACCTGCCACGGACACTTTAATTGGATGAATATGTTTTTAACCACAGTCGACTGCTACTTTAGATAATGGCTAATGCGAGTTGTGTTTAATTTGGGCAGGGCATTTAACACATTTAAAACAAGGGAGAGACTATCGCAACTCTGCCTAGGTGCTTTTGAAAAGCAATGGTGATGAGAGTTCAGGAAAACTCACTTGTGAAAAATGGAAATTTTTAACAAAATGCTTTGGTTTTAATGTAGAAACAGGAAGAAGGGTGCAGTTGATTTGAGGAAAATGAATTCGAACTCAGTTTAATTTTGTTTGTTTTATGGTGATCTGCTTTACCTCAAAATGGTTAATAGTAAGTGAATCAAGAGCCCTTCCCTTCCCAGTTCATGAAAAGAAATAGAAGTCTGGTTATAGATACTGACTGTAGAAGGTAAACACTTTCACATCACTGCGTTATGTCGTGTGATACTACATTCACTCAGAATTGAACACAGATGAAAAGTGGAAGCACCACCTCCTCCATTTTTATGCCCCCTGTACTCTTAGGTTTCTGTACATGAGAAATTTGAGGGGAGTTGAAGTGGAATGTTCAGTAATGTAATTTATCTGTTCTAATGTTCTGTACTAACAGCATTCATGTTGGCATAAGTTAATATTAGGAATGTCATGTTTAGTTTTTTACACTTTTTAATACTGCTTTGCACATTCAATTTAGAACAGCTCTTTACCTTACTGTAATTATTTGTTATGGAGTAATTTTTGCTATGTAAATAGAAATATTGATGTTTGCTAAAACTGGGCCATTAAAAAAAAAAAAATCGAACTAGTGTCCTTACTGTGATGTGATCATAATTAACACAGTTGAAGATGCTGAAGTCCCCACATAGAGGAGTAATGGCAGGTTAGTGCAAGAATAAAGGATAAAAAAATATTTATCTTTTTAAAATGAAAATTCCTGTTAATAGTTAATATCATCAAAAGATACATATATTTAAAAGCTTTCTAAAGAAGGGGGGACTAGGAAAAGGCTTTTCAAAATAATAGCTCTTTTCTCTTTACTATCTGATTACTATATATTTTTTAAAGGGCTGAGGATTTCCTTTAACAGAGTATATAGGTTTACTTTTTAAAAATAATTCATTCAGAGCAGGAGGAAAATAGTTGACACCCATGGTATTAATTAATATAAATTAGCAAATGAAAAAGACCTAGCTCCTGGAAGTTGGAGAGGTAAAACATTTATCTTTTTAAAAAATCTGCATTCCTGGATTTGTGCACGTAGTTCTTTTAGTACTGTTCGGAGTTATGATTGGGGCCTAGTAGCAACACAATATATACTGAAGGAACTTAGGCATGCTCTCTTAACCAGGCCCCTCGAGAATGGAGCCCTAATGTCCTAGGGCATCTATTGTATGCAATTGTTTTTTTTCTCCTATACATTTAGAATGATTCTAGTTTTGTATCATTCTTGGGAAATGTTAGAAAACAGTCACTCAAATAATCTGTTGATTCAGAGAAACCCAGTTGAAAAAGGCTGGAAGAGGATCAGAGAAATTACCTGTTCTTATATAATTGAACAGATCAGAGCCAGTACCTTAAATACTAGTTGAGACAGGGAGTTGGAATACACTTTATGTAAAAACACATCTTCCTAGTGGCATTTGCTTAAATGAGATTTTTACTTATATTTCAGTGGGTGGGTTCATCAGGAAAACTTAATAGAAGCATGTTTCTCAGCATCCTGAGATTTAGGGAGTCAGATAATGCAAATTATTATTTTAAAAATTAAACTTGGTTATATTTCACATTGACTTAATTTTTTAGTACATATAGTATAAGGTGTTTATTTGGTTACAAAATACAAATTTTTGGACATACTAATTACAGCTGAAAATTGAGAAAAAGTATTTCTTAGTGGAAAGGTCTCACTAATTTTGTAAAACTTCCTTTAATTGATTTGTACTATTAATATCTCTAATAAGAAAATATACTAATTAAATTTAAAGCTACCATTCTCATGTGGTGGTTNTTTTTTTTGAGAGGGCATATCTCATATTTATTGATCAAATGGTTGTTAACAATACTTGTTTTTTAAAATTTAGTATTCTAGCAAGTTGAATTGTTTTGTAACCTGTTGTGTCACAATGAATTGAATGAGTATTTCTGTTGGCTTTATGTGTTTCTCTATTTTGTATATGTATTTTGACTATGTATATTCTAACATAATTCTAGAGGGAACCAGAAGAGTTGCTTAATCCAGATATATCAGTTTATAAAATTTTCCTAGAATTTCCTAGAACTGAGTTGTTGGATATCGGAATATGATTACAATACAGGAACTTTTAGGTGTAGTAGGTTTTTCTTGTTTTTGTTATTTTCAGACTGCTGAGTTTAAATACTATGAAAGTGAACAAAAGACTTCTCTATTTGTTTTAAAACAAAATTTTAAGGGTATAGTTTAATATTTAAAAGCCTTAGTGGTATTTAAAGAATATTTTGGGGGGCTGTATATTATGTCTATTTTTTTTCCACTATCAAGTATCTCATGTTCATAAAATCATTTATTGTGGTTGGTAAAATAGTCTTTAATGATTCAGCAAGGATGGAGGAGGTAAATTGAAATATAGAAATACACCATTGGATGGAGATTATTTCTAGAGAAGTTGTGTGGGTTTCTCTTATATCCAGTGAAATGTAAAATGGATTGATCTAAACAAGCAGTGATACTGGATTGCTTTTGGCTGCCTCTCTTAATTGGCTTGTATTTGTTGGGCTGTATTGTGTCCATGAGTATTTCAGTAGTCTGTTACTCCAGGCCTCCTGTTGCCTAGGTATCATGCTTCCTTATTGAAGGAGTGTGGGTTCTCTCTTAAAATTTTGAGTATGTAAAATAAAAGTCTGTATTTCTAGGCAGATTGATTTAATTTTCAAGGTAGATGGGGTTTTTTAAGGTGTTAACTAATCTTCATTAATCACCCATTGTTCTCACTCCTTACTTCTTACCAGTATCTAGTGCCAAAATGTTTGAATTTGGGATATTGTGATCAGTCTACTTGTTTTACTGAATGTTCTTTCATTCAATTGAAGACTTTATGAGGTGTGGCAGAAGTGTTTGCTTCTTCCTAAGAAAAATGACACTTACAATACCCACCCCTGTCACCCCCACCCCCAGAAAAACAACTGGTGATTTATGTTTCTCACTTGTAATCCCTCATATCTTTAAACACCGTAGGAAGGAGATGCCTTTGAAAATGCTGTATGCCTTACTATGCTAAAGTGTCTGTTTTGGGAACATTTTGAAAGTTCTCTTGATTGCAGTGTGAAAGCTGGGCAGGAGGGAGGAGCAGTTTGTGTTGGGCTGGGCATCATCTGATACGAGAGCTGCTTAACCTCAGTACTATTGAGGCTTTGCTAGCTGCAAAGCTAGTAAGAGCTCTGTTGTTTCACTAATAGTGTCTCTTCCCCCTCCAACTTGATTGCTTCACTTGGTAACCTGTAAGTAGATTCTTATTTATTTTCTGGTTACTGATACCATTAATTAGATACCAGCTTTTTTCAAGTTTATTTACCTGGTGTTTATAAGGAGAATTGACTTAAAGTTATACATATCACGTATACTGGTTGTATGCAATTAGGTGTAATAGCTTGTGGTTAAAAAAGAAATAAAGGAACTGCTTTATGTAGCAAAGTACTTCCTTAAATGTTTAAATTTTGCATATACTTTACTGGTATTAACTAATGAATTAAATTTGCTATACACTGTTTAAAAATTGGAGAAAACATGCCCTTTGTGTGAACAAAGGGTTTAAAAATGCCTTAGGTTAATGACTAACACATTTAGCTGCCTAAAACAAATATTCATTATCTCACAGTTTCTCGAGTCAGGAGTCTGGGCACAGCTTAGCTTGGGTCCTCTGCAAGACTGCATTCAAGATGTTGGCCAGGGCTGGGTGTTAATCTGGAGACTTGGCTGGGGAAGAGTCTGCTTCCAAGCTCCCTTAGATTGTTGGCAGAATGCATTTCCTGGTGGTGGTTAAGCTCATGGCAGCTTGCTTTAAAGCCAGCAAAGGAGTGGCTCTAGCAAGATGAGCTGATGTTCATTAACACTCTTATGCAGATCCATACATATATAATCACATATAGGCCATTGTCTTTGCTGCATTCCTTGGTTACAAGTAAGTCACTGAAGGGTGTAAGACAGAACAGTGTAAATACCATGAGGCAGGGATGATGTGTGGCCAACCTAAAGCCTGTCTGCCAGCCACATTGATTATAGGCTTAGGTTGACAAGTTAAACATGCAACTGTGCTGTTTATTTTTAAAATCATTTTTAAAATTTACTTTGAAGTTATAATCATTGATGTGGGCAGTGTTGCTTTAATAAATATGAATTGAACCCCTTTTAGAAGCTGAGCTTTGTAGTTGTCAGTGGTACAAACATGGGACTTCTTCCTGTTCAGCTTTTGGTTGAATTTGAGAT